ATCTGGCCTATGAGTAATTCAGAAGGAATTTGTTTACACAAGGACAAGCTGACAGGATGAACTGCTGCAGTCAGCACGAGACCATGGGCTGAGCACTGGAGGCACCCGAGGTCACCAAACACACCCAACCAGCAAAGGAGAGAGGTGGAGTCAGCTCTGGACATTCACTTATGGACTTCAGACAACTTTATGATCAAATCACATTTTCTGGAATTTGCCTCCAATCCTATCCAACAGGACCATTTTGGATAATTTACCTTTGAAGAAATAAGCACGGTCCAAGGCCTGGAGAAAGCTCTAAACCCAGCAGCACCAAAAGAGCCTAAATGTCTGTCTTAGCTGAAAGACACATTTGAAGAGTCACAGGCTGCTTGTTTCTAAGTCCTTTCTGCTGAAATGCTGCTCTTACCAAGCATTGGTGAAGGTCAGCTATGCCTAGAAATTTGGTACCTTCACAAATGAATGCCATTTAACTCTGTAAGTGCTAAGAATATTTAAGACATTTGTGTTCCTGAATTTCAGAAGAGCAGAAAGGCTTTTTAGCAAAAGAATGTCAGAGGACAGTTCCCACTTCTGGCCATGTCTCCCAAATTGCCCTCTTTCTGAGTCTGTCTGAGGCATCTCAGCATGAGCAAGTTTTAAAGGTATTTTTCATTAGAAAGTTATATATGGATGCTGGGGCTAAAATCTCCTCATAAGCCTTCTCCTTTGCAAAGTAACATTTTGCACAGAGTTACAACATGCCTCCAGAAGGTTTATGTTTAAATCTGAGCAAAAAATCTATATATCAATACATATTTCCTATTTTCCATAATATTTCACAAAAAAACCTGTCTACCTACTTAGCTTATACAACAATGCTTTTATTCACCATTTTCAATGTTTAGATAAGCAAGATTAGATAAACACCCAAGCACTTTCTAACTGTCCATGTGACATCAATCATTCAGCATTTGCAGTGACACTTGACTATACACAGCCTACCTGGAATTAGTAACAACAGCAGCAAATCTGTCCCATAATGAAACAAGTGTTCTTGCACACTCATGTCAGCTGCAAACACACATGCAAATCTTTCCTTGTACCTGTAAAAAAAACAAAAAGTCCCCCACCAAACCCTCAAAATAAAACACACTATCTGCCTTCTTTGGAAAAACATAAATCACATGTTGAATGTTTTCATAATTTATCAGAACAGTGAACACATTTCTGATCTGATCCTACACAACTCTTCACCCAGACAGACCTAAATGCAGTTACTGACCCCAGACAAGTATAAAAGCTTATATTTTAGAAATCATTTCTCTTATTCTGACTTTCCTTTAGGTCCTCACCACTCAATACTGTAGCATACAGCATGAATTTACCCTTTAGAGTCTAGATCAAAGCAAGCACATTCATAGGATCAAGGCACAGGACTGCAAGACTTCCTTTCTTCCCATCAGCTTCCCACTGCACACACCAGGAGTGCTTGCCCTGAACTTTGGGGTTCAAGGTGATTATGCAACACTTTAAAGCAACAATTGTGAGCCTATAATTTAAGAGCAAGCATTTATTGCAGAGCTACTAGTTCTGATCTAACATTCACAGTCTCACATCTATGCTAACATACTCAGAATTCACTCCTGACAGCTTCAGCTGTTTATCACGCTTTCACATCTCTGCTTTCACACCAGCCATGACTGCAATTCTGCCCATGGTGTCCTTCTCTTTCATTTGCATCAGTCCTTGCACAGATCAGTTCCACTTTCAAAGCAAGCTCCCAAGCCTCTATATTTACAGAAAACACAATCAGGTGGGCAGAGCAACTTTGAGGTTTCTGCCCATTGTTACAAACATGTCCAATACCCTGATTCATACAGAACTTAAACCAACTGCCTGAGAAACCAGAAACATCTAAAGGCTCCAGTCTCCCTCTGCCTAGGGAAGTGAAAATTGGTTTGGAGCAAGTTTTTTTTCAAGCTCACCAACCTTGACAATATTTCATGACTCTTATCCCACAGCTTATTTAGGATTGTTTTTCCTTCCTCTTCAACTTGATGACAAACTAGTTTTCATATCTGTATTCAGTTATTCTTTCTTGGATGTTAGTCAGCCTCTCTCCATGAGAAATCAGATACTGCACTGAGTGGTTTTACACAGCCACCATTTTCATTAAAATCTGTGCCTTCACAATGCTTAAAAAAATATATACAGCTACACAGCAGTAAAAGTTCTCCTTGGAAAATGATTCTCATGGACTTAAGGGTAAAAACAGATTCAAGATGTGTCAAGAATAGTGTTCATGTATTTTAGGGGTACCAAAACTAAATAATAACCCAAATGTCTATTTTAAATGTAATTACATCCTGAAATGTCTGCAAAACCTCAGGATTATTCAATAGGCAGAATCCTGGCACACTAGCACAGCAGTAGAGAAAGAAGGAGTAGGTTCACTTTTCATTGAAGGAAAAGGTGACCTTGGCATGAAATCAAGATCTGCAGGTGGCAGCTTCAAGTCTGAATTTGACAGAAAATAACTATCTCACCTACCCAAAACCCATCAAAATAAGCAATTCACTATTAAAAAAGCAAGCATTTGGCTCATTGCAAGAAAGAAATTAAAATACGGTGAAATTTAAGTCTTGCAGTGAGTTGTAGGAATGGTGGTACTCTTAAAGAGCCCAGCACAATCTATTTCTGAAAGATACAAGACATGACATTCACCTAAAAGAGGAGACTGACATGAGTGTGTAAGTTACTATGGAGCCAAGATCTTCATGCTCAGGTTATACTTAAAATAGAGAATGAAGCCATTTTCAGATATCAGATTCTTTTTAACAGCAAAGAACATTTCAGATAATTCTAAATTTAATCTCAAACTTTAATGTCTCAGAGGACATTATTTATTCTTCCCCTCCCAACTTTAGCAATTTTAACTGCCTTAATCCAAGGATATAGTACTAGCTGTATTTTGCATCTCCCATGCTGCATGCCCAAGCCAAAGCTTGCATTTGGATGGCAGTTTAAGAAAACTCCTTTGAAGTAATTTAGGACCCAAAATCAAAGTATCTTTCTGCTGCATGATTGAATATGGATTCAGTTCTCCCTCTGCAAATAGACAGCACCTGGGCCAAACCAACACATGACACCTCAGAATACAGAGTGCCTTGTTTGCTACAGGCTCAGAGCATCACCAAGCAAAGCCTGTCAGCCACCAGCACGTGACACAGATCTGCTGTCAGTGGCACACAAACAGCTGGACCCAGCAGCATCTGCTGGATGTTTGGCCAGGTAAGGCCTCTTCCACAGGGAAACACTTGTCTTGGAGGGACAGGTGTTCAAGGTGGTTAGGCATTGTTCAAGGGATTTGTTCAGCAGCTCATTTCAATGGACATCTAAAGAGGTTTTATAATGAAAAACTAAGTTTTAGAAGAGCTCAGGCATTTTCTTCCTTTCTTTAAAAGACTACTGGATAAGATGCTCTGGCAATAACAGCAGCACAGGAGAGGGTAAATTTACCATCATTTCCCATTAGCTGATACCTTGTCTACATTTTTTAAGCCATTAAGCATGCTACAAACAAAAAGTGTTGTTTTTCTCCCAGAAAGGATGTAGCTATGCTGTATTTCAGCCCAGTACTACACTATGCCATATTTTAAATTAAAGCAGATAGAGTTCAAAGCTAGACCAGTTCAATAGGCCAATAAACAAAGAGGTCATTGGACTGATAGTTTCATAGCCTGCATAACTTTAGAGCTAGAACAGGAGGGGAGGAAAAGGAAGAAGTCAGATTTAGCCAAAACAAGCCAAGGATCAAGAAACACTTTCACCTTCTTCCTTATGTGACTGCTTCCTCCCATGCTCTCCCACTAACCTACATTAACCAACCTCAGGTTTTCTTTGCTTTCTTTACACAGCACTCCACATAGCAGGGCATCAGGCTTAGACTGCAAACTCAAATCTTGTTCATCCCAAAATAATGTGGCTATTCCAGTATCTCCAGCAATGGACTGCAGCCATATGAAATAAAAACACCATTGTGTTTGAGAGATAACTTTAGTATCCCAGTAAAGATCTAAACTGATATGGTCAAAGACACTGCCACAGAGCAACAGACATTGCCTAAAGTCTGTCCTTCAGCAAGGACTTATGCACAGACCCCTGGTTCACAGAAAGCCTTTCAGCTTACAGCTCATGCTGAACAAGATTAACCAAAAACCAGCCATGGTAATAACATACAGCAGAATCCTACAAGTATACCCGAATGTATCAAAAATATCCAGAGACTGACAAGGCAAAATAAAGACCTGTAAATGAATCACCACTGTGTGCAAAAATTACAGCTTTTCCAGGCAGCAGCTTTCAAGGGTCACTTTTGTATCAGCATCTGATGCTCTGTTCCACTCAGATCAGTGCATCACTGAATTGCTCAGATGCTGGATTTATCCTCAGGTACAGTCAGAACTCAGAGGTCTCAACACATGATTCAGGGAACAGATATGAACTAATGTCTCCAGGTATTCAGGAAAGAAGCTCCAGTACAATATGTCACCTATTTGTCATGTGTGACACCTACACAAGGCAATTTTTTTTGTCTTTGCTGACTGTCAGTGAAAAGATATCGTGAATTCTATTTTCAGGACTGACACCAGCCTGAAGGATTCATGTCAGCTAGCAAAGCCAGCTTCAGTTGTTGCTTACATCTGCTTTTTTGGTGAACTATCATTCATGTCATTATGAACCACACATTCCTAAACAGTGGCTGTTACTAAAAAACACATCTATACATGCACTAAGTTTATCTTCCTTTTAAGATCATTATATATAATTGCCCTATGAAGTAAGTACAGTTAAACAAAAACAAACAATACAAGGTTACTTAAAAAACAGGTGTCTTGCAGCTCAAATAAACAGCTCAGAAAGATGATTCTACAGCTCAGCCACCTGAGTCACACACTCCAAGGCTGCACCAAGTGCACTGGAAAGGAACTCTCCACAATGACTGGTTGCTGACCTACCCCAGTGCCATGGGTCCCTTCCACACTGCTGCTATATTTCTGTGGTTTCACTGCATCACCATAATCAGCATCAAAGTTAGTCTTCCACACCATCACCTGCAGAAGAAAGTTAACTGCATTAAAATTTTCTACCTAAGTTTGTTTATAGGTCATTTTTTTCAACCCTTCAGAGAAGAATCAGCAAATCCACAAGAAGTTTCCCTAGAAGAGCTTTGCCATTGATTAAATTAAGGATGTTGTTTGTAAATATGCTACTAAATACAGACAGTTTAACTGAGTTCTCAATGGATAATGACCTCTTTCAACATTCTTTGGGTCAAGAACATCATTAAACTAGAATGACCAAGAGAACTTCAAAGCAACATGAAGAATACACCATTAAAACCACAAATATTTTAGAATACCATGCTCAGCATTATAACATTTATCAGCCACACCCCAAGTCAGTCATTTATCATGAGACTCAGAGGAAAAGGAGAGTTAGTACTAAGACCAGCATTAGAGATCTTAAGCTAGTTTGTCAGCTGGACACCAAATTTAAATCCCACTTATAGGCCTCTGCTTTCCATGACAGTACTGATTTCAGAAAAGAGGTCTCTGACACATAAATCACTTCAACGTATCAAGAGGAAATCCATGGAGTGAACCCCTCAGCAGAGACTTTGCAAGTCTAAAAAATTTAAAGAGCAATCAATCAACAATTTCAGAGGTCTGAAAGACACCCAAGTATCTAGACAGCTCATTTGGTTATCGGAAGGAGCATTTATTCTTCATTTACAAATCTGTATCACTGCTTTGCATAAAATAAAAGCATTTTCTTTCACTGTTGCATGGTTAACCAACAAGGCCATTCCACTGTGCAACAGGGAAAAAAAAATGATGTTGCTAGTGAATAGACAAATCTGTCTCTTCACAAAGGTGTTGTGCAAGATGGGCATTGCCACCTGGTCCAAACTGGGGATTAGGAGCAATGCAACACAGCTCTTTGAAGACTGATGATCCTTACTCACACCACTACTCTGGGTTGAAGTCTGTGTCTTCAGCAGGGCAGCTCTCTGTGCTAAAACCAGGATATATTTGCAGCACAGGCTCATAAATGGGACCACTACTCTGGGTTGAAGTCTGTCTGTGTCTTCAGCAGGGCAGCTCTCTGTGCTAAAACCAGGATATATTTGCAGCACAGGCTCATAAATGGGCCTGTTTGCAGTTTGGCAATTGAGTATGGGTTTCTTGGGCTACATGTCATACATTACCACCAAAAAAATTGGGTTTGACCTCCAGATTTTTGTTAATAAAACAGCAAGTTGCTGCAGCATGGTCCAGGCACACTGAACAAAGGGTACACTTTTGCTTTACTCATTGTTCAACAGAGAACAAAAGGCAGCAGCTTTTAAGAAAATGTGAATCTGGATTATAACTCAGAAATTCATCAGGTACCTGTTCATCAGAACCTCCAGAGGCAAAGAAGTCTCCATCTCTTGAAAATGCTACACAGGTAGCTGGTCCCTGCAACCACATTTAAAAGACAAGTTTAAAAAAATACAAAAGAAAGCGAATTGTTACAATGTTCCATTCATTACAGCTTTACAAGGTATTTATCATTTGACATCAGCAATCTAAAGGCAAAATTTAAAAAGCTCTTACCTGTCAAGTAAATGGGCCATAATTAAGATGCTAAGCTTGCTGGCACTTACCATTTCCCACACTTCTGACCCCAGTTTAAGACACCCACTTTTCAATATCCATGGCAGAGACAGGAATAAACCTATTTTTACAGCACCAGGCTTTTTCTTGCTCCCCTCAAACATTCCCTCTTCCCTTTAGAATTAGCAAATTCTAAAACTCCTGTTCGTTTATTAAAAGTGTTGAAACTATGAGGTTTTTGTATAGTAGGCTGGTTTAAACTGCTTTTCTCTTAGTAGTGTGGTAGGAGAGATGCCAGAGTTAATGTATCCAGGATTACCTCTGCACAGCACTTACATTTTGAAGAAGCCTCATGCTTAAAACACTCAGTAGTTCTGAAAGACTTTAAATGCTTCTGAGTGCACATCTTCCACACCACACACCTCATTCAATGTTTTCTACCTTCCAGCAAGCACACAGCAGGATGCACATGGCAGGCTGAGACAGGAGTTGCAGTTAAACAGAGCTGAGGAACTGCTACGTGTGTTCAAGCCCAGGCACAACAGACAAACTGTTCTGCTCAGAGTAAACAGCTGAGAACCCAGAGCATGGAGTTTTATGTCAGCTGCTGAACACATTCCTCTGCAGTCTGTTCAGCAGCATGGGCAGAGGTCAGAATGAGAACTTCCAGAGGCTGCCTATGGGGCTGACAAGCTGGGGAGGGCTGGAGGAAACACCAAAAACAAACACCAAAAATAACGAGAAAAGCCACAACAACCACCAGAAACTCCACCACATGATCATCCACCTCCTGACAGAAGCAGTTACCCCCTTTCAAGTAACATCATGTATCTCAGAAGGCAATTAAGAAGCTTCTCTCTACCCTGTTGGAAGGAGACACAATTGTGAGTCCACACTTTCTTTCCAATGGACATTGCATGAAAACCTCACACCCTTTCTTTGCCTTCTTTGTAACACTGGACTCAACACAGTAAATCCTGAAGATGGACAAATACCCAAAGACTGCATGTGAGATAAGTACCCAGCTCTCACTGCAACCTGTGCCCCACAGTCCTGTGGGCTTCCAAACATGCTGGCACAAGGTTATGGCAGCAAAATCTTGCTGTGCTCAATCCCAGTGTGACCAGTTTTAGCTTCCTTAAAACACATAAAGGTGTTTCCATATTTTATCATTTAACACACAGTGATTTCAAACTGTTTTAAGGCCTCCCCTAGCAACACCTCACTAGAGAGGGCTTGCCAGGAATGATCCAGCAGCAGCAACTGCAAAGCGCACGCGCAGCCGCTGGTGTGACTAAGCTCACTCACCTGACACAGCAAGAACTAGGGGAGATATTTCAGACCAAAGACACTGCCATCAATCAGCTGAGACAAACTGTGCCTCTGCCTTTATTCCCACCCACCCACCCCAGTGTTCAGCTCTCTAATCACATGTCAGGAATGGAGGCTCTAAAAAAATGCAAAAGCAAAAGACAAGCATAAAGAAAGCACAGAAACAGCCCCACAGCCAGAAAACTGCAGTGGTGAATATTGCTCCAGGATAACAGAAGTTGAGCATACAGAAGCTGCTCCTGGACTATAATAAACCAGTCAGAGTTAAAAGGGCAGAAAAAAATTTAAGACTAAGTGTTCAGGAACAAGCACAAGCAAGGAGCAGTGTTTCCTAAAAATATTTTTATCAGTCTAAATATTTCAGTGTATTTAGACAAAATCTAGTACAACACAAATCACATCAAAACAGGCAATGAACTGACTCCAAAGTCATGGCATTCTGAAGGGAAAAAAAGTTCAAGAGAACATATTCTTCCCAAAATAGAAAATTATATCAAAGACTGAATGTGCCTTTATAAATTGAAAGAAAGGGAACAAACAAGTCCACAGACGCAACATCCTCTACAGATTTGTTGACATAAGTTAAGTGAAAAAGTATTCCTGCTACATACACTCCCAGAACTCTTCCAAGATACAACAGGTTTGCTATAGCGACAGTTTGCCAAATGCCCTTGCAATTTAATATTGACACACCAAACAAAAATAAAAAGCTACACTTGCCAGTTATTGGACACAGCCTAACTTCCATTTGTCCCAGGAAAGCATAACAGAAATCCAACAGATTTCTGATGAAGACCTGGGTAACAGACATGAGACTGGAGAGTGAAGACTTCAAACCTTTCTTCTTCCCCTCTTTTAACTTATTGCTTCCATTAAAAGTATCAAAAAGTAGCAGTTGCATATTCTTCTACAGAAGTTGTGGAGAGAATTTTAAGCTTATTTCCCACATAACTAGAACTTGTGGGATGCAGCAGCCTTCTTTTACTGGATCTGTAGAAGGATCTTATATTCTGTAGCAGGATCAAATGGCCCCCTATTAGTATTTCGTGGAGATTAAGAATTTCCAGTCTGAACCCCCATGGCCCAAGGTGATCCACACAAGCTGCTAGCACCAATCCCCAAAGTCCAGCAGCTTCTTGCCTCAGCCTAGACAGCAAGCTGCAGGAAGGAAGGGGTTGGGCAATGACATACACCAAGTCAGTGGTAAGGGACATTTCTGTTTAATCCTCAGCAGGTCAACGGCAGGACTGTCCAGCTTTTTTGCATATCCAGTAGAGTTTGAAATTATAACAGCAGCTTTAGCAATACTGGAAGAGCTGCAGGGATTTTGAAGAAAATACAGGAAGAAAGCAACAAGTCATCTACTGCAATTGTTGAGTGAGAAGAACATGGCCACTAATTGACATTCAACTCATCCCTTCTAGTGAAAGAGTACCAGGCAAGGTAGAGACAAGTACCAGAGGGGCTTGAAAAGGACAAAAAGCTCAAACACTGGATGGAGCAAAGCAACTATAAAGAAAAAGGAACCACAGAGAAGGAATTATAACAGCATCAAGCCTCATTGTTTGCCACAGCATTCCCAGTGAACACAACTCAGGCAAGGTCAGATATGCATGGCATGGCAGCTGAAACACCAGGTGACAGCACATTTCTAGCTGCTTTCAGAGGTGAGAAAGGTGAGGCCCAGCAAGTTACATAATTTATGTGCAGAGATAGAGATTACACCTTCTGCCTATTTTCCCACTTCCTACAAAGGAGGTTACTGACTGCAAGGCCTTTATTGCCCTAGCATTTCACAGGATGATCAGGTTACATAAAACATTACGTTTGGCCTTCAAAATAGATGGTCAGACTATTCTGAATGACTTGAATGCATTAATCACCAAGAGAGACAGGATCTGAAGCCAGGACACAGATTACACCACCAAGTGACTGGCAGGATGCTAATAGCATCAGTAACAACTGACACAGGGGTGACATAAGACAACAGGAATAGCATCCCTGAACACAAAGCTTTCAAGGGTAGAGCTAAAAATAGATGTCTCTGAAAGAAATACTTAAGAGAAAGGCTGAGAGTTTAGTCTGGAGCCCAGAGTCACACCTGCACACAGGCAGCAGATGAATGTGTACCATCCATAAATAATGAGTTGACAATCACAGAGAAATCTCTCTTGAACACCCTTTTCTTCTCCCAGAGCTGCTGGGCACAGAAGGCACAACACTTCAACAACAACAGGGCCAACACCAAGAGGCAAGTCAAGAGAGGCCAGACTTTCAGGCTTCAGCTAGGAACAGAGGTAACATTTCAGCTTCAGCATAACAGAAGAAACAAGAGCCAGGTTGGAGAGGGTCCAGGAATAAACCAGAGAAGAGCAGTTTAATGATGCACTGTCTGCACTATGAAAGGAGAGGCAGTGTGGAAGGAAGCTGGAGAGACAAGTGGGGTCAAGGATGCTAGTAGATTTTTACTTTTTTTGTTTCAGTCCTGCAAGAAACCAATGCATAGTAGAGAAAAGCCAGGTAAGAAAGCAAGGAAAATGCTAAGAGTTGGAATAAGGCATATCTAGAGAATGCAAATAGTTGAATTAAAGGAGAGCTTCCTCTTCCACTGCCACAAAAGGAGATGTAAAAGTGGGAGCCAGTATATTCAGCCAAACTCTCCAGGAACAGACTAACTAGTGCAAAGAGAAACAGGAGACCTAAGAGGAGACAAGGCGACAAGACCTGAGAAGCAAATCCAGCAGCAACCAGCACACTGGGATCCCAGCCCTGGCATCATCAGTTCTAGGCATAAAAGAACTAAGAACAAACAGAGCAGTCATTGCCACTGTTGACAGTGTCTTCAGCTGCTTCATGCATGGGAGGAGAGTGCAAGCCACATGGGAAAGGAAGAAGGGAAGGCAAGCAAGGAGAAGAGGTGGCCTTGACAAAAAGGATGTTTTCAGGTGGAACACCTCTGGCAAGAACCCCAAGGATTCTCAGTACACTGGGCTTTGAAAAATTCTTGAGCAAGACTGACATGTTTGCATCCTCCTTCACCAGGGAGTAAGAGCTACAACTAACATAGGGAAATTTATACTGGCATCTTACAGCTGAATCTTCAGCAGCTTTAACTCCTGAAAGTTTCAGTCTATAAAAACACAAGGCAAGGACAGAGAACTCGTATTTCCTTTTGAGACTCAGAAATTCTAGCCTAAAGTCAATTGCTTGTTGTTTGCAACACACATTTCTTTCTTTTTTGTTTGACTTCTGTGTAGCCTGGAGATGTCCTCATACTCTTCAAGGAGGACAGGCCTGCACAGATGTTTAATGCCACCTAGGCAGAGCTGGCAGCTGACAGTAAAGGAGCACACTTCTCTCATGAGCACCTGCTCAGGAGACCTCACTTATTAGTCAGTGAGCAAAGCAGGGAGCACTGATGTTGCCCAGGTAGGTAAAATGTAGCTACTTCATAATTCAAGTCAAGGTTGCTTGAAGAATTGTAACTTTGCATTTTCTCTTTTCCTATTTATGAACGTAACCATGAGATGTTTTCTAAATATTTACTGAGAACTTCCATTCCACTGAGGAAGTCAGTCTGGAAATGCTCTAATTAAACCACTCCAAAGGGCAGACAAGTACCATGTACATACCTGCTCTCCTCCAGCAACTCTCTGGGATGGCTTAGAGGCCTCAAAACATTCTGTTCTTCAACAATGATTCAGTACTAGAGGTGGATTTACATACCAAGCCAGTGTCTCATCTGTATGGAATTAGATAAGAGCACTTCACAGCTTGAAGCCCTCCAGAACCAAAATATGCAGCACAATACAGAATGATACTTTGCAGCTGCAAGATGTCAGCTCCAAGCTGCAAACTTCTGCCTCTAATGATCCTTCTGCTACAAGGGGCCAGCTACATTTCAGTTAAAGACAGCAATGTAAACTTGGCCAACCTCCCCATGTAAACTACAGCTAATCAGCTGCTAACAAATTTCTGGCACTCCAGCAGTTGCGTCAAAGTATGTCTAAAGGACCGCAGGGTTTTTTTCCTTTAAGTGTCCACTTGCATGCAGCCTTCCCAGAACAATGTAACAGCAGGCAGCTGTAAAAGTAGGAACAAAGTGTCAACCAGAACGTTCAACCTCAAAAAGTCACAACTCGAGAACATCTTCAGAACAAATTGTCTATCTGGTGACTAACCTGCAGCACGCATTTACGGCAAATCAATTTAATGACCAAAAAGTCATTGTTTTTAGCCTCTTGGGGATACTGGCACAAGTCACAGTAATAACAGAGGGGACAAAAAAGTCCCTCATTATTAACTAATGTGGATTTATGTATGAGCAGAACTAGCTGGAGAAGCAGCCATTGCAGGAATCCACCCCTGGTGACAGCACAGCCTGTAGCCACTGACAGTGGCTGACTGGGGACAGAGCACAAGCAAGGTACCTGTTCAATCAGGCAGTAAAAAACCAACTTGCAACAATACAGCACATGCCCGACAGGGAATGCCAGGCAGGACTGTGCCAGGACTGGTTCCACAGATATCTCAGTGCAATATCCTTAGAGGCAACCAGAAAACTCCACCAGCCCCTTCAATACTTGCACTTGTTTCCAAACTGAAGGAGCTGGAATGCCACAACAGCAGCTACTCTTCAGCTGTGCTAAAGAGGAAGCTTTTCCAATGGCACCTATATGTCCAGGAGAAAGAGGCAGACACTGTTTTACTGATCTGAAGCAGCAGGGAAGAAGAACAGGGAGCTTTAATTCTACTTTTGAATAGATGATCCACAAACTGTTCTTTTAAAGCCTCGAGTAAAGTACAACATTAGCCTAAAGGGACTTTCTATTGCTCGTTGTGAAGACTTCCATCACCATAATCAGTTTTGGACTCCCATTCAATGCTAAACTCCTTTTTTTTTTTTTTTTTTGTGCTACTGCAGTCAGTGAGGCACAGCTAGCAGCTCAAATGGGAGGAAAATGGAAAGCAGGTTCAGCCTCCTGCTGAACCATAACCAGGCACATCCCTTCCTGAGGGAAGGGGGGAAGTGTAAAGATTTCCCATTCTTCCAACACTTAGCCTTTTCCAGGAAGCTTCTTCCCAAGAACTCACTTGGCAGATTAACACAACAAACCAATATGAAAACAAGATTGAGGCAACAGAAGCTTTGCAGCCCCCATCTGATAGGAGTATCCACTTAGTCCAGTGCTTTAAGAACAGTTTTATACAGCCAAGGCTCATATATCAGGATAACCAGCATTTATTATCTCCTCCCCATGCTTTTAACAGCTGAATCCTTTGGTCAATTTCAATCAAAGCTCTACTTCGTTAAAGATTTAAGCATAAGGTTTTCCTATTTTTTTCCATTAATATTACAAAAAAAAAAGAAAATTTTATTAATATATAGCAAAAGCCAAGTTACAGAAGAAACTTGATCTTTTTAGACATCAAACAAAGCAGTCACTAAACAAAGCCACAAGAAGACAGAATTATCAGATTTACAGCCTACATAGATACCATTATTGCCCACAACAATCCCCATCATCTCCAAAAAGCTTCAGGCTGTGATTTTTCCCTGACAGTTTTTATGCTTTAAAACTCAGCCCCCACTTTAAAAGAGACAAGTGGGTTAAGAATTTCTGTTCTCTTTGTCCCTTTGGAAAGGGATCCCTTAAGGCAGTCCTGCTTTTTCACACTCCACTCTGCATGGACAATGAAATTAGTCTATTTGTTTTCATTTAAGATTTAGAAAGAGAGCTCCAAGCATTCATAAAATTAACCTTACAAGCAACACATCCAGCAGCATAATACTAATAGGCCAATCAGTTAAACTTAACCAACCAGCATCATTTATCACCTTCAATTGTATGATTCAGTCCATTAGCACAATGTTCCCAAATCAAATCCCTAAATAGATATCCTCTATGTTATTGCTACTGTTCCTGAGTCTCCTGCCAGGTGACCAGCATTTATCTTCAAAACACCAGTGTCAGGGGGCCAAGTGTTACTTGCAGCTCTCTAGAGAGGGAGGGAGACAGAACTGCACTAGAGAGTGGCTGACAGGGTCAGTCAGTCAAGGGTGCTGCTCTGAGTTCCTTCTGCTTTAGACTTGAATCCTCAGTATTGGAGATCACTTTTAGTCTTGCTTTCTCATTCTCCCCATTCCTGCCTTACCTCCTTCCCTTCAAAACACTGATGATCTCAAAGATGATTAGCATTATAATCATGATTTTACACAAGGAAGCTTTCAAACAATTTCTGGTCATGAAGGATGAAAGTCTCAAGCCTGCATTTGCTCAGTTTATTACTGCAAAAAAGGCTTTGCCTCACCTGGTGACCATGCAGAGTATAGAGAAGTCTTCCTTCCAACAAGTCCAGAATCTTAAGAGTTGAATCACTGGAAGCAGTAATCAGATAGTTTCCAGAGGGATGAAAGGAAAGACTGTTGACCACAGAGCTGTGCACTGAGGATGGGAAAAAAAAAGTATCATAGTCACAAAGACCAGTTTACATAAGCCCAAGGCAAAAGAATAAAATAAAGCACAAGCACATTGCAATTTTCTGTTATAAAATTTAACAGGAAAATTATCGTGGGGGAAACATTCCACAAAAGCTCTTCAAAGCACTGAAGAACAATAACAGTAACTCAGTTCTTGTAAAAATAGGCTCTACTTTACTGAAAGGAAAAAGGAAGCTTTGCCAATTATTCTGGGAGATTTAATGCTACAAAAGCTTCCAGTATAACACCAAAATATACTGTATGGGCAAGTGAATACAGGATTCTGTGAGAGTGCTGGACACAGATGTACTTTACTACTGTGGAGCTGCTGGCCTCACTCTCAAGTCATTCTAGATTAAAATCTGCATCTTAGGACACTGAGAAGACTGAAATTACAAAGGAAGACACTCAGAGTTGACACTGCACAACTTCTTTTGGTTTACTATCTGACTCTAGCCAAGACTGGGGTTAAGAGAAACTAGGAAATAAGAGCAACTTGAAAATGGTCCAGTATAAGCATTTTTTCCTCAGACATCCTATTTGCCTCACCAAAAAATTTAAAACAAATACAAATAGACAAACTACCAAGAGTGTGAACTTGCAATAAAGCCATTTTCCCTGCATGAAGATGAAGCCCAAGATTTATTCTGAAAAAAGCTAAAGAAAATGTTCTAGGAAAAAAGTCAAACTTCACTGAAGTTCAGTGTAACATTAAACATTTAATATATGACTTTTTTCCCTCCCCAAACTTTTACAGAACAGGCTATTGAACATATTTATTTATGAGAACACGCAGTACTTCACATATGCCCAGCTTCCTGAGTGTATGTGACATTACAGAATATTAATATGCCTGAGGAGGGATTTAACCATCCAATTTTTCTTAATTATACTATATGCCCTCCAAATGTTCTGGTATCTCAAATCTACTACTTCTGATACATCACACCCAACTAAATTTATGTTCTGTTGAGAGTCTACTGTGCATTTTGAATCCACTCTGCATGTTAAGAAACCCCTTAAAATATCATTTAAAGAACATTAGAAGCAAATATTATTTTTTGCATATGTGGATTTGAAGCAGCTGAAATAACCTTGCTTAACTGTAAAACAGAATGCCTCTACTTCTGAAATTCTCAGGAACACTAAATACCTCAGCTAAGTTCTGAAAATAACTCCTCTTGTTATTTTCTGTTACAGAACAGAGGAAAACCTTAACACAGGTAACTTCTAGACTGTTGTTCTTGTTGCTGAATATTGTCTCTGATACACAGCTAGATCTTCCTCTACCCCCAAACCTGTATCATGCTATGTACTAAAGGAGAAAAAGGTCTGTGTGGAGTTTTTTCTTATGAAAGAGTGATAAATATATCTGTGCCTTGAAAAATCTTATTCTGAGCAATTTGTAGTATTCTTCACCCCCTTAGTGTCTATATTCAGATAAATGTAAATGTATCTGTCAACTAAGGAAAGTCCTGAAAGAAATCACATCAGAAACAGACAAAGTTAGTAATGTATCACATCTACCAAGTTCCACAAGGTAAATAAAGCATTTCCAGCTTCACAGAAAGTCCTTTCCACAATGGAAAAAATACACACAGACTGTGGCTGCATAAGCAGTCACAGCTTCTGTGCCCAAGGAGTTACTGGCTCTTGTAAACTCAGAGAAAAGTTCATTTCTACTGTCAAAAAGTCCTTTCCATAATGGAAAAAATACAGACTGTGGCTGTCACAGCTTCTGTGCCCAAGGAGTTACTGGCTGTTGTGAACTCAGAAAAGTTCATCTCTACTTGTCAAAGCAGCTCATACCTCCCACAAGACCATTCATAACACCTCTCCCTTGTAAACTCAGAGAAAAGTTCATTTCTACTGTCAAAGCAGCTCATACCTCCCACAAGACCATTCATAACACCTCTCCAAAAAATGTGCCAGCACATCCTGCCACCTCACTTGATTTCCTGCTGTGAACAAGAACAAGGTGGCATCTCCCAGTGACTCATTGCTACACGTCCACCCTTCTGCCAGCCAAGTCCCAGCAAAGTAAGAGCCTCTTAGGGGACTTATACTGGGGGTTAACATCTAAAATTGAGTCCTCACAGCCTGCACAAAACTGTCCCAAGTCCCACAACACTTCTTTTGTGTAATGCAACCCTTAATATCACTAGGGAGAAGATAAGATGAATTTGAAACAGCCACAGTCTCTACTGAACAGATAACCACCATCAGCCCCATCCAAACTGGATAGAAGTACCAATTTCTCTTTTTAAACAGGAATAAAAAACAGGTTAGAGCTGTTTCCATAGACCTGCTACAGAGGCATCCCACACACAGCTTTGGACAGGGAAAAAAATGTCAGGCAATAAACACTGGCCATTTTTGTAGGGGCTGTACAAAATCTGCTGTACAAAAGAGTCAGTGCCAGGCAGAGAACCAAATAAAGCATCTGTGTGTTCTCCTGTACAGCAAATGTGACCAGAGCATACTTTGCTTGGCTCAAAGGAAAACACACCATACAAAAGGTTTTGCAGCTTGCTCTCCACTTCCAACTTTCATTTACAAATGTCACAGTTGGAACAAGTGCTGGCAACAAGAGCAGCACTGCTAAAAGACTAATCAGTGCTGGAAACCAGCCCAACCTTAAGACGCAAGAGCCCGAGGCAGGGCTACTCATCTATTAACTCCTCCATGCAACTCCATGTTTAAAATGGATTCCCTGGAAATCAGGCAGCATCAGCACATTCTGAAGGCACAGATGCCATCTAGTGGGACAGGACTGGCAGCCTCACAGGGGAGACACAAAACTAAATCAGATTTAGCCAACAGGAGGTATGTATAAACCCTCAGAAGGACAGGACTTATAAACATTTCCAGAACATGTTACAAACACATCAGTTTGTGGCCACAGGTGTGTGAAGTGACTGCAAAAAACCACCATTGCAATTTAAGGTTTCTTCAGCTCTTATTACTATTTTTAGTTAAAGGTTTAATACACAGTTAGGATTTACACAGTAGCTGTTAAAAATAACACTCACCCCAGGACAATGATCACTTCAATACAAGGGTGTCACACTAAAATGTCATTCAGTAAGGGTGGGATACCAGGGAAATATGTCATTCCAAGACAAAAAATAAACCTGGCAGCCAAGCTGAAACCACATTAGATTTGGACAATTTAACAGCAGTAAGTGGAAAGCAGGAAGAGACAACTTTTGAGCCAAGTTATACTGTGGCTGGAATCATGCACTGCAGATCTTGCCCCCATTGAAAAGCTGATAAAGCAGGTTAAAGGACAACCTGACACTGCCCAAGTATTTAAAAACACTACTGATTTTAGCAACAAGACTTCAGGAAGGCATTTCCAAGTTTTGATATGGGCCACAAGTTAACAATACTTATTACACAAATGACACGCTCAATACTGACGAACTGGAACAAGTCACCAAAAAGTTTGATTTCTATTCGATTTTGTTAACTATCAAAGAGCTGGGAGTGACTGTGATCCAGAAGAATGACTGAAGCTGGGAGGATGTCACAGCAGGAATGCACAAAAGCTTATGTTGAGGGCAGAAAGAACACACCAAGCTCCAGCCTCATGTCTCTGATCTGCTTTATGAGCATGCCAGAAGCAGTTCCTCAGGGAAAGTTAGCAAAATTAAGTTTAATAAGCCATCAACACTGGAAAAGTGCTTGAGAATGTATTCATTTTAAAATATCACAGTAGCCTTAAAAACTGTTATTAGCAAAGAAAAGCCACATTTTGGCTGAAGTAACTAATGCACAGAATAGGTCAATCAGTCTCACAGAAGCTGGCAGGGATGGGAAAGCACCCTTTTCCTTTCCAGATCTACCAAACAGCAGCACTAATCAGTGGGACAAGAAAATGTAATGGGAAGAGATGCCATTTGGCATCATCAAAGCTATTATGGAAGCTGGAAAACAGAGTCTGGAAAAGGAACCATCAACACAATCATAGTATAGAATTGCAATTGACTGATTTTGATTCTTCTTTTTTGTTAACTTTTCCTAATTTTCTCATGAAAGAGCCTAACATTTTGAATTGCTGGAATACAGTTCTGACTCCTCCTATAGGCTTATTCAGAGGCAAAGGCTACGTGTTTTTTGTTGCACCACCTTCTCAGTAAGAGGGAATATGAGCCAAATGGCATCACAGGTAAGACCCATGCCCACCTGCAACGTGGGACAGCTTCAGGATTAGCTCTGGAGCTAACACAAAGCAAAGCATGATGTCTGGTGAAGAAAGACTCCCGCTGGCAGACCCAACCCAGTGCTTTTGGAAAAGCAGCAGCTGACGGAGAAACAATCCTTGGACTTCAGAGCAATTGGCATCAATACATGGAAAGGTTCAACTTTTGTAAGCTCTTGCCTTGCCTTGGTAATGTTGAAGCAGCCTGTTCATCCTGACATCCCAGAGCTTCACCGTGCTGTCCGTACCGCCCGCGGCGATGCAGTTACCGCTGGGATGGAAATCCACGTGGTTCACAAACCTGCCAACAGCAACCAGACCCAGCTGTGACCTGCAGCTCCTGCTGCAGATCAGAACAGCCTCTGCAACAAGGGAAGCTACACCATGACTCACTGAATGTTAAGGAAAGGAGGAGATAACCTGGAAATTTATTTTGCTGAATTTCTCTGAAGACCCTGCTTCTAACCCCAGCCAGACTGCAGGCTCCTACCTAAGCATATCTTCAGCAGTTCACATTACAGGTGTAGGAGCTGCAGACACAAACCTCCTGAAATCTGATGGATCCAACTGTCACAACAACATTTTCAAGTATTCATTTAATATTTGCATAATATATGTCTTCTATTAACATTATTTCCAAAGTGATGTGTACAAGACTGAACAGAGACTTTTCTTCTGTTAATTAAATTTAAGATGGAACTTATTGAATTTGTGCCTGAAATTGTATGTTGCCACTTGGAAAGTAGCAAGGCTGGAGCCATATTTCTTTCTGGACCTGAATCCAATCAATTTTTACTTTGAATACATAAGTACAATAAAAGCTTCAGACCCTTCAGGGAAAGATACCTTGTAACTCCTCATGAAACAAACCGGATAAAATTAATTATCTTTTGAGTATTCTTGTAGCAAGTACTGAAAAAGTTGAGATATTTAAATAGGTTGTTTGGACAAGACCCATACTTCAGAGCACTGAAAAAATTAATAATGTTTGAATTTGGCTTATTATCATTGTATATTACCTAGAAATACAAAATATTGCACTAGAAATTCAGTGCAGCAATGAATTAGGGAGATTCCAGTCTCAGTTCTCTGAGAACTTGTTTTATGTTTCTGGGTAAATTATCTTTTGCTACATTCCAAATTTTACAGCTATTTTTCTGAATGCAAAGTGGGGGTTTTGAATAATCTCGTTATTTAAAAACTTGAAGATGAATCAAAGCATCCAAGTGCCATTCTGTCAGCAGACTTTTGCACTTTAATTTACATCAGCTCAGAGCAAAATAAAAGAAGAAATAAGGAATTTAAGCATCAACAAAAATAAAGAAGAACAAAGAAACTGAGGCTTGATGTGCTGGACAGTTACTGAAATATAACCTTCACAGTTCTAACCTTGAGCAGTCAAAGGGGCCAGGGCAATTCTGCACTGGGCCCTCACAATGGCTACTTTTGTAAGAGGTGCTAATGGTTTTTCAAGTAGTTTTAAAATTGCCAGGACAGGGACCTCTGAACCTCACAAACCAGGTGTAAATTCCCCAGGTAACCCCACTTCAGACATCACCACCAGCTACTCACCCTCCATGCTCACAGAAGGAGTGGATGCATTCTCTGCTGGTTTTGTCCCACAGCTTGACAGTTTTATCATCACTGGATGACACTATCAATCGTCCATCAGGAGAGAATCTAAGGCAAGAGTTACAGCAATTAACAAAAGCCCTCAAATGAAAGGAGTATGGGGTCGACTGATCTTGGCCAGGTGTCAAAACATATTGGCAAACACATCCAGCTTTTCAAGAAGTCACAGAGGCATCAGTGAGACTGAAAATCCAATCACTAAGTTGAGGAAAAAGAAAGCAAGCCCTAAGTACTCAAACTATCCCTAACTCCACGAGCACATAAAATAACCCTCAGGAAAGTCTTGAGTCTGACTTGAGATCTCGTGTCTTACTTGTTTTAATTTAAGTGTACCTCAAGTTGCTTCTCTGCTCTGATTCAAAACAATTCCTGCCTTTGCCACAAGAGTTCAGAGCAATACAGCCACTCACAAGAAAACAGCTGCAGCAGAGCCTGCACCATTCCAGTGCTTTAGGAGAATATATTAAGTTCCCATCTCAAAATATTATATACATGACGGATCCAGATCTTTCTTCACAGGAATACACATTACAGAATCAGGACTTGAGTCCCTAACTACAGATCATCAGACACACTGGAAAAACATCCTTTCTGCTCTTCTGTGGACATCTATAGTGCTACTAGCCACTGCCACCATCACGTTCTAGAACTGTAATGAACTTTTCACCTACAGAGGAACCATGGCTTTAGCCTAGATACATGTATACATAAATAACTCTTTGAAACCAAATCTGAAACAGTTATCAGGAAATAAGGTTCTCGTCATGGCAGCACTTAAAACATTTTAGAGGTAGCACTGGTGATCATTTTAACAAAGGACATGACAAGTCTAAAGAAACTAAGCTGAAATAACAGCAGAAACCTCTCACTTTTTTTCTATTAGCAACTTCAAGACACAGAATTCTCCTTAGCAGGTAAAAACAAAACACAGAACAAATCGCAAAGCAGGAAAGCCTCTGCTTGACAGGGATTACTGGAGAAACACAAAGTGGGTGCAGACTGTTACTCAAGGTCAGCAATATATTTCAGTCACTAGACACACCTGAATCACCCTGAACACAAATGTGTTGCACCAGACCCTGACACTGAGCCCCTGCTCTGAGGGATAAATCTCCATCTCTGCTTGTCAGAGGCCGTACTCACCTGGCACAGCGAACCCAGTTGATGTGCTGACTCAGAGAGAACAGAAACTTCTGCCTGTGAACCGTCCACACTTTGATTGTTTTGTCATCAGAAGCTGTGACTAAGGACTGGCCATCGCTGGAGAAATGAACACTTCTCACGGTTCCTGTGTGAGCCTTGAACACAGTCGATTCTCCCTTGCTACACAAAAGGGAAGAGCTCCTTAAAACTGCACCAAGGGCAGGAAAGGCATTCTGTACACTGCTGTATGCTGAGCAGCACTAGTAACCACCACTTCTATGGGAACTGCATGCGACCACATTAGGATAAAAACGTTGATCAACCCCAAATTTGCTCATGCTTCACGACCAGTACAGAACACACAGCTAAAACCAGTTGTTCCAGTTCCATACTGGAGGCCAATCCAACAGGAAACAACCCATAAGGGTTTCCTATAAAGGGGAAAAAATGCTACAGCTAATTTGTGCAACGATTTAAACACTTAGAAAAAGATCAATGTAAAAGAAGCCACTTTGGTTCTGTACTCTTGCCAGGTCCTTTGCTACAAGGCAGGCAAGAAGAGAGGTGTTTTCACAGCTCATTGAAACCAGAGCCAAGCAGTCAACGACCTCACAGCTGCTCCTGCAATGGCCCATGCTCCAGCAGGCCATTCCAGTGCCACATCACACAAGAATTCAGCACACCTGATGCTGTAGAGCTGTGAGCAAACTGCCATTAACTCAGCCAGGCAAGACAATTCAAATGTGTTCACTTTTCTTTACACATCGTTTCCAAATAAATGCAAGATGTATTTTTCTGGCAAATAAACACAAGGCATATTTAGAGATCCAAAGCAGAGCGTATTTGGAGATGCAACAGGTTCATGGAACTCTTGGTCCAAAATCTGTCTCCAGCAGGTACTGTACCACCAGGAGCTCCACATTCACAGACTGAAGAGAAGACACAGTAGTTCCTCTTTCCCTGTCCCACAGCCAGAGAACTGCTACAAAGCAGTAAGGAGGAATTCCAAGCCACAGCTGAACACAAAGAGAGGCAGAAGGGAGCAGGTACTCACGCACTAGGGATCCACAAACGGACGGTTTTGTCCCTGGAGCCTGAAGCCACAAGGTGGCCAGAAGGTGAGAACTGGACACACAGAACTGCATCTTTGTGGCCCAAGAAGCGATAGGCTCTCATCTGAGGCTTCATACTCCAGATCATCAGGCACGAATCCATTGAGCCACTTACTGAAAGAGAAAAGGAAAAAGAAAACCACACCAAACCAAACCTGCATTAGCCCTCCTCCAATTACACTAAAACTACATTTCACACTCAGCTCCTCATCATAGCTTCCAGCAGTCTCAAAACATTGCCCTTGAAGCTTCACCAGTCTATTGCAAGCTGTGTATTTCGTTATTGTCATGCATAACATTTCATTAGTAATTCAAACAAAACGAGGCCAGAAATGCATTACTTTGGACAGACAATTTAATTCCAAGAGTCCAGCCATGCAACAGCCACAGGGCGCAAATCACTGAGGAAATGAAAGTTATCTCTTCACTTTCTTATTTGGCAGAGGCAGGTATCAGCTGCAGCAGGTTAAATGTCACTTCAGATTAAGCAGAGAAGACCCGATGAGTTGGTGACTTAAAGCACCCTGGCTAAACCTCCCTCCAACACCTCTCCCTTGTGGCAAAACATTGACCAAAGTCAGCTCAGCAGTTCTTCACAACATATTAAAAACACACGCCTGCAATGTGAGTGGAGCAGTGCTCAACCTGCTGTTAGCAGGAAGCAACAGCAGGACCTTTTGCTGTTGCAAAGCTGTTACCTCCACTGCTCCTCCCATCTAACTAAAGCAGAACAGCTCTTGCTTTATCCTCTGGCCATCAAAACACAATTTACCCAATTGTTTCTTAGCACGACTGAAGTCCACACTAGTGACAGCATCTCTGTGGCCTTTGAAGTGCCTCTCCAGGGATGGATCTTCCTAGAAGATAAGAATGTTCAGACACTACAGATTTAAGAACAATCTTTGTACAATAAAATTTTATTTCTACAAGAAGTGAACCAAGCCACATATTCACCCCACAAAAAACAGGTAAAGGCAAGAACTGTTGTGCAGGCAAAGGCACAACACAAAACATAAATTTCACATATACCATAAATTTTAAAAGAAGCAAATTATCCAAGCTGTTATTAGCTTGGATCTTGAGTGGCTGCAAATCCCTCCTGCATTTTTACAACATGCTGCTGGCACAGAGACTCTAAAGCTGACTGTAGAACAGATAAGCCATGTCCATGATCACCTGAGCAGGCAGCCAAGCTCAGCTTTGCTCTGACAGCTGCTCATCTCAGCTCAGGTGTAGCCAATAGGCAACTATTTGTCACAAGATTTAACACACTTGTTGAAACAGACAGGAGGAATGAGAACAGCAAAACAGACTGACACATAACCCTTCCCACAGCACCTTGCTGCAAATGCCAGCAAAAGCCGGAGGTCAGGCAAAAAAACAAAGACCCGAGAGAACTATTAAAAGAGGTTTTAACACTTGAAAATTGCCCAGAGTTCAGGACAGGCTGATCAGCCTTCAATGCTCTCACACACACTGCACTGCCTCCCTGGCAAGCCCCACCACAGCCTTTTCCCACTCAGCCCTTGAGCAGAGCCCCCAGAGCAGGGCAGCGCTGCCCCTCAGCACCGGCCCCCCGGAGACCCAGAACGCCTCCATGGGCCTGGAGCTGCCGCTCTGCACAAACACAGACCAAGCCCGGCTGCACCAACACCCAGGGCCACCGCAGCCCCTGGAGCCCCTCTGTGCCCAGCCCCACCTGCATGATGCCACCCCACAGCAGCACTGAGCCCCCTGAGCCCAGCACCGCCAGCCCGGCCTCAGGGCTCCCCTCAGCACCAGAACCGCCGGGCCGCCACCGGCCCTGCCTTCCCCTTTCACTCTTCCCGGCACAGTCACAACGGCCCAAGCGCTGCCGCCGCCGCCCTCCCGCTCGGCGGCAGTCCCGCAGCACGCCGGGGTGCCCCGGCCCCGCCGCAGCGGCCCCACGCGGGCTGCTTTATTTTATTTTGTTTCGTTTTCTGCTCCGTTCCGGCCCGGCCCGGCCGCCGCTCACCTCGCACACGGCGGCCATGACGCCCCGCGGCCGCCGTTCGGTTCCCGCGCCGCGCGCGCTCCGTAGCAACGGCCCCGCCCGGCCAGGGGCGGGCTCCCCGTGAGGGCGGGCTCCCCGTGAGGGCGGGAGCTTCGGTCCCCTCAGGGCTGTGGGGTCCGTGCGCGGGAGCGGGCTCCTCTGGGCACGGCCGGCCCCGTCAGCGGGCTCGGGACGCTGGGAAAGCCCCGTCCGGCGCTGTTACAGCAGTTATCCGGGCAGGCTTGGTGCCGCTCCCTCATCACCCCGCTCCTTTGTCTCACTGCTGCTCTGGCTCCAGAGCCTGCTGAGGCGGTCCCGGATCGCAGCCGGGAGAGCACCACAGAGCCGTGTTCTCTAGGGCTAAGAAGCCGGGCTTCCAAGAAGTGGAACCACTTCCAAGAAGTGGAACCGCTTCCAAGAAGTGGCTCACTGGTGGGAGAGCAGTTGCTTCTGCTTGGTCTGTGAGTGTTCAAACAGGAGCTCACCCCGTAGTGGTGCAAAGCACACAGGACAACCGAGAAAGGTTTATTCTTCCAGTGGTTTAATACCAACCCAAATCTATTTATTCCAACGCTATTCATTTCTATCTAGGAACAGCACTATTAATTAGGCGCTATGGACTGGACAGTGACTGCTCTCTCCCAGGCCCAGATCTGCCTCTCCATGAAGCTTGGGGTGACCATCTGAGCTTCTAAAGGGGCCTTTCCTCCACCTCTTCTGCATATAGGTCCCTTCCTTTCAGGACACCTCTCCTCTTGCACGTTTCTGACAGCCAGGGATGTGCTCTGTTGAAGCTGGGGTTATAGTAGTAGAGGATCTAAAACAGGCAAAGGAGAAGAGTTAGTTGCCACCATCTCCCCAGTTACTCCAAATTGCAGCAGAGGATCACGTACCCTGAGGGCCGTGTAGAACCTAAAGCTCAGGCTAAAGCTTGTGATGGTTGTGTTCAGGCATCACCACCCCTGGGGTTTTGCCTCCCGAGAGCAGAGCAGTGTAGGATTTTCAAAAGCAGAACAACTGGTTTTTAAAACACCACTATTTCTCAGCAGCTTCAGTGCACATGCGAGCAGGCAGGTAATCTTGTTGGTCCTTTGATCCATCTGCCTGGCATTGGGCAAGTGCCACAGGAAGGTTTCAGATTTAATACAGCAAGACACGGAGCAAAGACATTCGGAGAAATCAGGTTATGCTGAACATGTCTGTGCCTTAAATGGGTTCAAACTCAGTAGATCTCACCAAAATGTATCTTATCCACATTTCTACTAGTCAGAAAGAGTCACTCAAACACGCCTGAGAAGGAAATGAAAACCAGCCCACTTCCTCCCATCCCCATCCCCTCCACCACAGAATCACACACTGTCTTGGATTGGAAGGGATCTTAAAAACCATCAGGTCCCAACCCCACTCCTTTGGCAGGGATGCCACTCACTATCCCAGGCTGCTCAGAGCCCCATCCAGCCTGGCCTTGAATACTTCAAGGGATGGGGCATCCACAAGCTCTCTGGGCAACCCGTGCCAGGGCCTCACCACACTCACAGGGAAGGATTTCTTCCTAACAGCTCATCTGAACCTGGCCTCTTTCACTATACAACCACCATTCCTTGTCCTGTCACTCTCTGCCTGCACTAAAAGTCACTCTCCCTCATTTTTATAAGCCCCCTTATAAAAAGTGGCTTCTTTTCAACCTGCAAATGACCCTCTGTGAGGAGGCCTTATTTGCTGTGAAGGTCCCTCTTCCCCCCAGATTATCACAAGCATTAGTAGCTGTGCAGAGCAGCTGCTGTACCTGGCTGTGAGCAGAAGCTGCTGCTTCCTCTGCCAGGAATTCGGGCAGGGAGGCAGATCTTTGGAAATTCCACTGCATTTTGGTGAATCCATATGCATTCAGCTGCCGCATGAAACTTTTAATTTTCTGTGTGTGGAAGACCTTCTGTCCTTCCCTGCCCAGCACCTCCACTTCAAAGAGATCTTTGTTGATGGCCACACATTTTCCACCCTCAGTCCACCAAATGGACTGAAACTTGCCACTTTCCAGCATTTTCCAAAGCTTCTGTGGAAAGCGCAGGGACGAGAACTCTCGCTCCGTGGCCATCGCCCTGGACAGCTTGGCTGTGTCCCACCAGCTGGCAGGCAAAGACCAACTGGCACCAACAGACAGCAGGTTCCAATGGAATGTTCTGGCATATCACTGTGCTGTGGGGACATTGCAGGTGACATCTCAGTGATGGCTGGCAGGGCTGCCCTGGCAGGGGGAGCAGCCCGAGCAGAAACTGCTGAAGGGAGCTTGGTGCTTCTCTGTCCCAGAGCCCAGCAGTGTGCACAGAGCTGTCCTGAGGCGCTGTGGGCCGTGTCTGGCTGCACCAGAGTGGGTCCTCAGGGAGAGCAGGGATGGCTGCAGCCTTGGGCATGTCAGGGCCCTCTTTGGGGAGCTTTCTGGCTGGGCCCCTCTGACACCTGCAGAAATGTGACTCCCTGGATCCCTGCAATGCAGAAATAGCAGTGATAGCATGGAGAATAATTTTCTTGCCATTTCCTACCTCAAAGCATCAGGGATTCATTGATATCAACACGTTGTCTGTGCAAACTTCTTGAATAAGATTATACTTTTTTATCTAGTGGGTTTAAAACTATCTGGGAGAGATGGACCAGGGGACATGCTTGTTTCATTCCTGGCATGAGACCCAAAAGCAGTAGTTTCCATTCCATCCATGAATGACCCACAATCGGGCTGGGGGAGCAAAGCCCAAGCCCTCACTCAGGCCATCTGGACAAGAGATGTTCTGGTCTACTTTATCTGCATCACTCCTGCTTTGTTCATAAATTCAGAACCATGAACACAATTCCATGAATTGGAGGGAAGCCATCCCTCCTTCTCCCTGGTGCACTGCCTTCCTGCAGCAGATGTGCTGGCTCAGGGATGTTTGTGTGCCTGAAAAGCTCTGCATTCCTGCCTGCCCTTTGGGGTTCTGCATTTGAAGAGATACATTCCTCCCTCAGACATGGCCCTTCTGCCCACATAGCTATGGATTTTGGATCTGGAAGTCTGAAGTGGTTTCTATCATGGCCTGACCTGTTCCTCATTAAATTCTTTGGCATTTGAGTATTAGCTTTTCTTTCTCTGTACTGAAATAGAAAGATATACATGATGCTAAATATGCCTGAGGTCTGAAAGAATCCATTTGAGAGAAATAAAAATCTGTAAACATGTTGTGATTGCACTCCCACTTATAAAAGCAGGAGATGGGAACAGTTGCTTCAATTGAAGGATTCCACCACCCAAAAAAACACCCCAGGCTGCCTTCTAGATAATACACAGGCAGCACCTATGGTGGGCATGGATGGTTACTTTGCTTACCTCAGCCCTGGGGTGTCACTGTGTAATACCAACAGCCAGAGGTGACAGCAGATTGGCACAACATTCTCACTTGTGGGACAGCAAATGTCAAAAGAGAAAGAATTAAAGAAAATTCATGTCAAGAGGGGAAAAGGTGCCCTTGGGAGCAACAAGCGCACATCGGGTCCAGCGGTGGAGCTGATAGTCTCGAACAGCCCAGTTCAGCCATTCCGACCTGCCTGTGGCATTACCTGCCCCGGGTTTGGGCAGGACGGGGTGTTTCCACTCCCTCTCGACGCTGTCCCTCCTGGGCCAGCCGGGGAGGGGGCGCTCAGGCCACGCGCTGTCACCGCTGTCCCCCGGGGACTCCTGCCGTCCTTCGGGTGGCCACCGGGGGGCAGGCGGGGCCGCCGCAGCTTCCCTGGGATCGAGAGGGAAAAGCCAGCGGGAAAACGGGATGAGAAGCACGCGGCCGCGTTAGAGATGAATCAGGCCCACCTAGGCAGCTTCTTTGGGAAGAACACCCTAACTCTGGGTGATAAAAGCTCTGAGCGTGCCTCTTTCAAATGCCACTTCCCAGCTTGCCACCTTTAGGCATTATCTAGTAATTCTCAGCAAGTCCTGCCCTGGGCTTATCTCTGTCACAGTGAATCAGAAAGAGACCAGAAGCCCCAGGATGTGCCCCCTCTGTCACATCGACAGAGCCTTGCACTGGCAGCCCTGCCAAAGCTGTGATTTCTGCATGCTGCAAAAGCTATTGCAGAGCATCAGACACACCCAGAATTCAGGTGAGTTGTTCTTGCATGAAATTACAGTTAACCTTTGACTTCAAGCCCAATTCATAAAACGCTGAATTCCTCTCTAGAGTGTGTGGGCCTAAGTTTAGCAACCAACCTTAATGTTTACCAATTCTATATGGCAAACCCCAGTTCTCACGTGTCCTGTTAATACTTAAACTGCTGAGCATACCAGTCTCTACTTGTACCTTTGCAGTTCCAAGAATATTCCAAAGGACAGCATGCAAAGCTTGAGAAAGCCACCATGAGACTTTTTCTGAAAAAGCTGAGGCTCTCAACGAGACCAGTGATGGGAAGAAGTACTTTGCCATCGACAAAGGAAGCTCCAAGAGACACGGAGTTGGTGAATGCAATGTGCACACACCAAATGGAAGCAGCACCCACACCCAGGTCTCCCAGTTGCTAGCAGCACTCTCACAACAAAGTCATCCTGTCCCCATGATCCCCACGATCCCAGCATGGCTCCTTCACTGCTGTTTTGTGTCCCATCCCAACACATCCTGGAGATGGAGGCAGTGGCATTGGGCAACCAACCCTGCAATGCTGTGGCATGGGTCAAAATGACCATCTGGGGTGTGACAGCCACCTTGGTATTGGCACTTTGCATCCAGAGAGCACAGCAGGGACTCAGGCAGCCCAAGCACACAGCTACGAGGAGCCAAAGAATGTAGATGAAGATTCATAGCACAGAGAGTTGTGGTCCAACCTCCTTTACTGCTGCTGTGGAAGGGGGCAGCTACAGACAGGTTAGACACTGCAGAAGGGAGCAGACCCATCAAGCAGCTCAGCTGATGACAGTGACATGTCCCATTGCTTCCATGGGGAGAGGCTGCTTTGCATCAGCTGGAGATGTAGCTTGCTGCCACATCAGTTGTTTTTTCTCTTACTTTGTCCTCCCCTGTGTGCCAAACCTGTTTATTTATAGCCCACATTTCTTTTTCCCACCTGTCTTTATGTTTATTAGCCTTCCTTACAGAATTAAGAGAAAGACAGAAGGAAAAAAACAACTTTTACTCAAGTAATTCCTGACCTAAATGCAAATCTGTTCAAGGAAATTCAGAGAGCTTTGATGCTGCATGAGAAGAGAAAGGGAAGAGGAGCAGCCTCTGCTTCTATCAGAACAGATCTTTAGTGCTGTGTAACAACCAGGCAATGAAGCAAAAGCCAAGGGAGTTTAAAGAGGAAGCTCAGACAAAGGTCACCTGGCTGCCCCAGGTGCTTGTTATCAGCACCTTGAAAAGAGGGAGGAAAGTGACACGAGCTGATTACAGCAACAGCAGGAAACAGCTGACAGGGCTGGGGGAGCTCTCCCGTCAGCATTCGGCATCCAGACGGTCTTTGCTGTTGCAAAGCAGAGGGGCTGCAAAGCCTGGGCTCTGCACTTGCTCAGGACACTAAGAGAAAATATTTCTGCTTCACATTTGAAGTGTCTGCTAGGCAGAGAGTCAGAAAGCACCCTGTTATTGCAATACCCTGTTTTGTTTGCTGCCCAGTCTTTGCAGTGGATTTGTACTACTCGCTGCTCATCCGTATGGCTGAGGGGAAGGGTGACAAGGGGGTGCATGCAGAAGCACCAGAGGAATACGCTACTACTCCCTCTGTGGAGCTACACAGCTCTTAGCCATGCGAGAGAGAGCAAGGAAAGGGAGCTCATACATGCCTGCAGTTTCCAGAACCAGCCGAAAGGAGGAGAAGGATTCAGGAGTGAGAAAACCTCAAGCTGGATCCAGCCAGAATACCATCAGCAGCTTGCTGGCATCTACAAGATTGTCTCTGACCACTTACATCGGTTCTAGTGTCTTAAACTACTAAAAGGTCTTAAAATCTGTTACAGGAATGTAGATAGAACCTGGCTTTAAAATGTCTCCAGCACAGGTGGCTCCGCTGTGCTGGTGTTGCTGACCAAGGGCAGGTGGCTGAAAGTCCCTGAACTTTCTCTGCTGGTGTCTCTAGGGGTGAGTAGAGTTCAGGCTTTGCTGAACTCACAATTGCATCAACCCACAGCCCAAAGTGCACAAAAACTGGTGCTAGGAGAATGCTAGCTGAGTTCACAGGAGTGAAGCTGAAACCTTTGGGACATGGAATTCCTCACTCACGGGGCACACACCCAGCACCCACACCCAGCAGGGTTCATTGCCACAGAGACCCTGGTGCTGGAGCTGGCCTGGCCAGGGCAGGTAACACTGCATGGTCCAGCACCACCCACCTACAAAGCAGCTTGTTATTACCAGGGCCATGGAAGCATGTTCCAGAATTCACCTCTCCCCATGGGGCTGCTTTCCAAACAACATTGATCACTGGGCTGAATCACATTTGGCCTTGACTTTTAAGCCTCTAATCTTATTGAACAGTTCTTTGTCCCAGAATTTCACAAATCCAGATCCCCACTCTCTAGATTAGAGGAGGGTATCAGTCAGACCCTGCTGAAGAGTATCAAGTGTCTGTGGAAAGTGTCACATGGGAAAAACTAAAAGGATGGAGACTCAGCCATGCTGAGAGCAGAGTGGGCAGGGTGACATCAACCTTCCTAGAGAAACTCCTACTGACAGGAGAGTTTGGTCAGCACAGGAAGGCACAGAACTGCCCAGACCTTCTTCTAAAGCTCTGCACTCTCAGGAGCCTTGCATCTCCTGAAGACCCAGAGCTGGCTTCTCTCCTTCCCACACACCATTCCTGCATGTTGCAGAGGGGAACGGCAGGTAAGTGTGGCCAGAGCACACCACAGAACAGCCCCAAATATCTGTTACATTTGCTTGCCTTGAAGGGAAGGATGCAGCTGTTTGCAACATGTCAGAGCAGCCCTTGTTCCAATGAGCATAAACTCTATGGCACCCACCTGAGCATCTCCCCTGCAGCACTTTCCCCTCTGAACAGACTAGAATTACTAAAGCTAGACATTCCTGCTGTGAACTGAGCTGTCTGAGGGGTAGTGGCTCTTTGTATTTCTAAGCCAATTGAAGCAGGCAGAACTAGATAGTGGTGGGCTCACTGCCCACCACCCAAACCAATTTCTTCCTTGCACAGATCATTTGCCCTTCCAATATCTTCTCCTCAGAGAGAGAAAGAAGATCCTGGCTTCCTTTCTACCCAGTGCCAACAGGAGCTCAGCCTTTGCTGCACCTCTTTGTGCTAGCAGGATATGGCCACATTTGTGCTGGGACATCTTGCTGAGGCCACTAAAGGACAAGTGGGACATTAAAGACACAGAACTATACAGGAGACTTTTCCACTGGTCAAATAGGACAGGACAACCAGAAAAGTTTATTGTTCAAACAGTTTATTATCAATTCTATTAGGTTGTGGCTATCAGACTTTATATCCATACAGTGCTCCAGGAGGCTCTAGAAGGATGGGAGCAGCTGCCAGTGGAGATGGATGGGCTTCAGCTGACACCTGCCTGTCCCTCCACACTGACCATCTGCACTTCTGGAGGGGCCTTTCATCCAACCCTGCTGCACACAGGGCTCTCTGTTTGAGGGCAGCTCTCCTTTTGCACGTTCCCAGCAGCCAGGGATGTGCTCTGTTGAATCTGGGGTTATAGTAGTAGAGAATCTAAAACAAGGAGAAGAGTTAGTTGCTACTATTCCAAGACTGGAAAAACTCAAGCTACAAGAACTAGCTGAATGGCAAAAGGGGAGCATGGTTAAGGAAAAGGACTTTGAACTTAGATATGGAACTTAAAGCTCAGGCTAAAGTGTTATGTGGGTTGTGTTCAGCCATCACAACTGAGGTTTTACCCTCCTGGGGGCTAATGAAGAATAACTGTTTTCAAAAGCTAAACCTCACTATTTCTCTGCAAGTTCAGAGCAGATAGGAGCAGGCAGGTAATCCCATGATCCTTGGATGCATCTGCTTGGCATTGGGCAGGTGCCACAGGGAGGCTCCAGATTTGGTCCAGCAAGACACAGAGCAAAAACATTCAGAGAAATCAGATTACACTGAGTCTGTCTGTCCCTTAAACAGGTTTAAACTCAGTAGCTCTCACTGAAATATATCTCATCTGCATTTCTACTAGTCAGAAAGACTCATTCAAATCTACTTGAACACAGGCTGAGAAAGGAATGAAAACCAGACCACTCACTCCCATCCTCACCTCTTCTATGGCAAGGCCTTATTTGCTGTGAAGGTCCCTCTTCCCCCCAGATTATCACAAGCATTAGTAGCTGTGCAGAGCACCTGCTGTACCTGGCTGTGAGCAGAAGTTGCTGCTTCCTCTGACAGGAACTCAGGCAGAGAGGCAGATCTTTGGAAATCCCGCTGCACTTTGGTGAATCCATAGAGGTTCAGCTGGCGAATAACACTCCTGATGTGCTGCGTGTTAAAAACCCGCTGACAAACTCCCCTGCCCAGCACCTCCACTTCAAAGAGATCTTTGTTGATGGCCACACATTTTCCACCCTCACTCCACCAAATGGACCGAAACTGGTCACTTTCCAGCATTTTCCAAAGCTTCTCTGGAAAGCAGAGGGGCAAGAATCGCTTGTCTTTGCCTGTGCTCTCACTGGAAACAGCAGGAGCTTGTTTGGTCCAGTGCCTGTCACTGCCAGACCAGATGTCCTGCTCATCCTCCATGGCTTGCATGGCAGTGTCACAGGGTACAAGTCCCTCCCGTGCTGGAAGACCAGGAGTAGCCATGTCAGCCCACTGCCCCAGTGCATCTGGAGCAGAAAGGGGTGGTGTTTCTGGGGGAATCAGCTTGCTTTTCTATTCTCACAGGTGGACTGAGCCTTCCCTCATTGGCCATCACCCTGCACAGCCATACCTCGTTCTCCCAGTCAGTGGGCAAAAGTCAACTGACCATGGCTAACTGTGGGTTCCAATGGAATGTTCTGGCATATCACTGTGGTGCCTGTGCTGTGGGGACATTGCAGGTGACATCTCAGTGATGGCTGGCACTGACCTCACCACTGATCTCAGGGGTGCCCTGGCAGGGGGAGCAGCCCGAGTAGAAACTGCTGAAGGGAACTTGGTGCTTCTCTGTCCCAGAGCCAGCAGTGGTGGCAGTCCAGAGCCCAGCAGTGTGCACAGAGCTGTCCTGAGGGGCTGTGGGCAGGGAAAGGCCTGGGCTGTGTCTGGCTGCACCAGGAGTGGGTCCCCAGGGAGAGCTGGAATGGCTGCAGCCTTGGGCATGCCAGGGCCCTCTTTGGGGAGCTTTCTGGCTGGGCCCCTCTGACACCTGTCCTTGTGGGTCTCGGGGAGAGATCAGCCCAGGGGACCAGCCCAAGGGACTGCACTAGAAAAGTGGGAAAGCCCAGCCCTGATGCCAAAGGTGGAGGCCAGCCAGGGCCTGGCTGCTGGGTAGTGGTGACGGAGATGAGGCATTCCAGACATTCTCCAGCACAGCTGGGAAGTGGGGGAGCAGCTGCTTGTCCAGGTGTACAGGCTCTGCATATGCAGGGACATGTGTTAGGGATTGGCTGTGTTACCTTGGCAAGCACAGGCTTTCTGTGAGCAGACACCTGTGTGTCCTGTGCAGGAGCTGCTGTGAACACCTCCTCTCCGTGCCAGCAGCAGTTCCCTGGACAGCCCAAAGATCTTGGCAGCTTCCTGAGGGGCAGCTTTCCTCCAGCTCCTCATCCAGGCACAGTGCAGCTGGGCTTCTTTTTTTGTGGCTCACTCTTGGCTTGTAGCCTTCCAGCACCTTGGGATGGTCCATCTTAAAGCTAGACCATAACAGAATCATAGAAGCTAGAAAGTGCAGAGGAAAGTGTTAGTTGTAACCAGTTCAAGCCTGAAAAACAAAATACATAAAAACTAAGACTTTAGTCTTGGCCAAAATCCAAACCTGGGTATTGAAGAAGGGGAGTTTGAAACCTCAAGCTTGGGCTGCCCAGATGTTACAATATGGTTCTACTAAGTGATAACCAGCCCTGGGTTTTTACCTGAGCAAGTCCACAGAGCTGTGCTGAAGGGCTGTGGGCAAGGAGAGGCCTGGGCCACGTTCAGCTGCACCCAGGAGTGGTTCCCCAAAGAGCAGCAGGGACAGCTGCAGCCTGGGACATCCCAGTGCCCCGTTGGGAAACCTTTCCAGCTGCACCCCTCTGCACACCTGCAGAGACACCCTGACAGTCTGCACCTTTTGAGATTCACTGGAGAAACACCTTACAAAGCTCCTTGGTAACAAACCAGCCTTTCAATTGGCTATGGAAAGTTCTGCCAAGCAAGGGGAAAGGGTTTTCCTTGTGGAAACACATTGCAGCAAGCCTTTGTGTGGAGTAAACAGTCTTCATGCCAGCAGGATCAATACTAACAACCTGTCTTGGTACCCAGTTCTGAGCTGCTCCTTGTCTCTCTCTTGCAGCCCAGTGTGAGGCAGTTTGGCTGCAGCATTCTGTGATCTGATAGAGGGGAGGCTATTTCTGAAGTGACAGAGACCCAGCAGACGGCTGAGAGCCCAGAACAACCCCTGAGCTCACCTTGTTAGCACTGCCAGGTTGCTGTTCTCTGACAATCTGTTCTAAACACTGGCTAAGTTTGGAAACAGTGCTAAAAGCAGGCTTGTCATGGTCGTGCCAATGAATGAAGAGCTTGTCAACAGAGGGAGAGTCACCAGCAGCACAAGGGAGAAGTATAAACATGACTATATTTCCTCTATAGAATGGTTTATATCTAGCTGTGAATCCTTCAAGCTGCTGCAACAGAGCTTTAATACTGTATTAAGGGCTGGAAAATTGGAGGGTCAGAGGATATTTCACTGTCTAGCTCCAGTCTTTTGCAAATGGATGTGAATCCTCCATTCAAAACAGATTCAACAAGCCAGTTCCTAACAGGTTCTGACCCTTATAAAGTGTCCATATTCAGCTTTTGACTTCAGCTTTATCTCCAGAAAATCCTCAGCAATTTAGGCTTACTCCAATGGCCAAGCTCACCACACATTCACAGAAGACAAGGAACAGCAACATGCAGTTGCTGGCAGCAGGGCAAACCCTCTGGGGTAAAGAGCCAGGATCCAGTGATCACAGCAGCACCTCTCCCAACTCAGCCTTAAGGAAGTAAGTTGTTGTGTTTTTTCCTGTGAAAGCAGAAAGGTGAAGAAAGATGCTGGTTTGCACAGGAAGATGGACAAGGCCAAAAAAAAGGGAGGTGCTACAGCTGCAGTGAGTTTGGGGTATGCTGCTTTGAGTTATCCTGAGGTATAGGAAAAGCCTGTAGGTGTAGGAGTCTCCTGCAACACCTCAGACCTTCACAAAAGAATTTATTTCCCACTGCAAGCCACCCAGCTCTGCATTTCTTGGTCGGACTTACTCCTTCTTGGAGACCAGGAACATTCCTCTGCCCCTGCCTTTCACTCAATGCCAGGCCTGCAGTGTGTCTGATAGATAAACCAACCTGGCAAAACCAAGCACATTCTTGTCTAGCACCATACCTTGACCCACTGATGAGTTCTTTTTTCATCATTTCCTGGAGATGTGGGAAACAGCTGGAGTCAGAATTCATGAGAGGAAGCAATAGAATTTCAGGCATTTCAAAAATAGAAAGATCAGAAAGGTTAGGCTTGAACCAAGTGAGGCAGACAAAGCCTATAACCCCTGCCAGGAGGATGAGCAATGCAAACAGTGGATGCCTGTATCTGGAGGAGAGATTCTCCCCAGTTACAGCAGAGGAATATGTTTTAAGTAGCTGGCTTTTGGTCTCTGTTTTGTTTACTCTTCCAAAGACAAAACCAAAAGTGACGCCATACTCTACTTTATTAAGTGCAGAAGGAAGCATCTGGGAAGGGCAGCAAAACATTACAAAGTCCAGACCAGCCTAAACAGAGACACCCACAAACCCTCCTGAGTCTGCTGAGTATGTAGATATTTATCAAGTACAGCCTGCTACACAGCTGAACAGAAAACACCTGCTGGGCTTCAGGATGCTCCAAGCAGCCAGGAGGAGAGCAGGGGGAATATCACACTCAGCTGCTCCCCAGGGGTTGCTTGGTCCCTTGAATAACCACCACTGCACAGAAGGACCGGAGCTCAGCTGCTGGGAGCAGACACCACAGCCATAGCTGTGCTCACACTGGCTCCAGTTCAAGGGCTGTAGGGCCACTGCCCACTTGTCAAGCTCCTGGCAACCTCCAGCCTGTGCCAAGTAGAAGCTGAGGAGCAGAATGAGGAAGTGATCCACTGAAACTTGTTCTGTGTGAGGGACTTCCCCAGAGCACAGCACGAGAAAGGCACTGCCTGCCCAGGAAAGTGCCACACTAAATCTGAAGAATGGCCAAGCTCTTGTTCAAGCTGGCTGATTTGATCACAGAAGCCAATACCTCTGCCAAATGCAGGCACTGGCTGAATACTGTTATAATTAGAGCTGAAGTGCTAGACCTGTTGTTTCTAATTCCTGTTATTTTTATTATTTTCAGTAATTTGTGCTAACCTGAAGTATTTTCAGTATTTTGTGCTAACTGAAGAGACATGGTGTCCAATTTCAGGGGGTAGGAGAACTTCATGCTAAGAACATCCAGTTTTGTTTTCCTACTTAAGCAGAGTGGTCCAAACCTAGTGGTGCAAACCTAGGTGCACCAAAAAGGTCCTAAGGCAAAGGGGAAGTACTTCACTTGCTAAATCAACTTATTGAACAATTAGGGTTAGCAGTATTTAGTTCTGTCAAATTACCCCAAAGGTAATTATTCTAATCAGCAAACATTTATTCGAAATTGCAGAGGTACAGTACAGGACAGCAGAGAAAGGAATCAGCTATTTCATCTGCAGCTGTCCTGACCTTCAGGGAAAAATCTCTCTAGCACAACATGGTTGCCATAAATACTTCCACCATGACAAAAGATGTCAGAAATGCAGGCTGTTGACATTACAGGATACTCAGCCAAAGCAAAACCGTATGGCTTTCAAACTGAGAGTTTAAAGACCAGCAACTTTCATGACAGTGTGATATGCTATCCTAGAGTTCAGAGGGCAGGAAAGTGCAGCTGATATTGAACACAAATATACTATTTTCTTTTACAGAAGTTAATTTCCAAAGGACACAGAACTGTTTAACTCATTGCCAAGTTTCAGTTCAAAACTAAGCATGTTTGTCTTGAAGGTCTCTTCCAACCTAGTGATTTTGTGAAGTTCACAAAAGTTCATCAAGGCAGAGTTCACCAGAAGTTTTATTCTTTTAATGATTAACAATTTTTATTTTTTTTTTTTAATCCTGGTTCATATCCTCTGGCTCAGGGGATTGCCAGGAGCACAGTGCACACCAGCATCTTCGTTTTGAGTCAGCAGCTAGCTGGATGGACATTTGCTCTGACTCACTGGACTCATACAGACAGCCAAGACTGAAGTATTCAAGTCTCAGTGTTGTTTGTGCAAAACAAAGCCTCATTTGGCAGTGTGGGATGTCACAGGCTCATTTCTCAGTGTCTTCTCAGAGTGTTCAGTTCCTCCTTCTGTCTCTTGTGAGCCTGAAAAGACAGACCACCATCCCCAAGGAGGGCAGACACAGGGTTGCTCTGCTTCTTGTTTGTAAAGTATTACAACACTGTGCAAGCAAATGGTCTAACCTCACATGAAAAGACATCTTAGATAAATCCCTTGCATGGAATTAATCACACTGGTGTTGCAATCATGGGTGTCATGGATAAAAATGACCCAAAGAAGAGGAGGATGACAATTTTCCATCAGCGCTTATTTACTCTAATTATAAACAGAGATTCCCAGCTCTCTTAAGCTAGGCCAAACAACTAGCACCTACCTGTGGCCTGTTATCTTAGCTGAGGACTATGCTAGAGCAGATTTCCTGCCACATATCTGGAGGGGGCTGCCTTGATCTTACAAGGTCAACAGGAGAAGCATCATTTTATTGTTACTGTTGAATATACATTTCTTGCACAGTTACAGAGACATTTCCTTGCTACTATAAAGAGGTGCCCTCATATCACCTCCAGATGTCATAATTATAAGGTAAATGTTCCTGGTGCCAACCCCACTATAAGCTCTTATACCTTGTTCAGTGTGGTACAAAACTCTGCCCCTGAGCTGAGCTGGGGTCTCTGCTGTGCTGGTGAAGCCAGCATTCACAATGGGGTTCTGGGCTTAGATTGTGGAGAGGAAGCTTTAACACCAAAAAATAAAATCATGAGTAACCACATTAAGTTGAACATATCTATTATACAACCCCTGTCCTTCCCAAGTGAAATGCACCTGCATGGATGTGGTCTTACAGCTTTTGACCTAATGCTTTTATGCAGTAGGGAAGGTGGAAAGATGACACAAAGCCCACACATGGTAAAACACCTTTGCAGCAGGAAAATCAAGCCCTCTACATCGTAAAAGCAAGCAGAGAGTCAAAGCATTGGGCTCAAGCAATTGATCAGGTAAAAAAACTGAGATATCTGAGTGGTTTTCTTAGGAATGGTTGACGACTTACACAGATTGTGCAACTGCTCTGCCTCTGCTCTGCAAACACAGCCTGATGTCCAAACAGCAGTGTCTGTAACAGCCTGCCTCTGTATTGATATCATTTGTGTGTGCTTTGTAAATAAACAAATAGTGACTCACAAGTGACAGGCTTGGAGAAAGCCAGGGCAGGGGTTACAGCACAGGCTAAGTCCTCACCTTCTCATCTGCCCAGGCACACAGCACAGAACGGGCCTGGCTGCAGCAGGGCAGCTCCACAGTGCAGCAACCCTGGCTGCCAAGCCCAAACCCTCGCCCCAACAGCTCAGTGACATTTGGCCTAACTGGCAACAGCAGCCCTGG